GAGACCCATTACATGTAGCACCTTGTAAATTCCATCTCCATGAGAGAAAGAGAGAATTTACAAGAAAGAGACAATGAAAAAGCAGAAAAAGAAAGAGCTTTGAAGTGGCCCCTGTTTTGGTATTATGGCTTCCGAATGAAATGATGCGGTGCTGCTGGGTGAAGAAAAGGAGTGTTAGAAACTGAGGTTATCTCTTTTCTGCTTCTTCATTCGGTTTGATGCGCGTGGTTGCACGTGCTTAATTTATTTCTTTTTAAATTTTTTATTATATTAAATATAAATTTTTAAATAAAAATAATTTATTAAATACGAATAATACACTATATTTATATTATTTTCATTAATTCGTATATGTATTTATCATATATAAGTTAAAAATAAAATTAGTTACAATATAAATAAAAATATTATGTATAAAAAAATTATTAATAATTATAAATTCGAATATATATTTCTTATTAAAATAAATAAAAAATTTATATAAATTAAAATATTATAATTATAAAATTTTAGTTTGATCATTATTAAATATCTTATAATTATATAATATATGTACTAATAATCATAACTTTAAAGTAATATTTTTTAATATAATTAAAATATTATTTTTAATTAAAAAAATAGATATATATATATATATATATATATATAAAGAGTCCCGATATTACACATTTTAGGTCAAGACAACTTGATTAGGTCATATTGGATGATTTGAAATGAGGTCAGCAAAAGATCGGGAGTATAAGTAGAAATCACGAGAGTCCGAAAAAAATATAATTAGTTAATAAATCAGCACAACGATTCTCTTATTTATAAATATGTTAAAACTGGATCGTCAAACTTATAGTTAAGCGAATTCTAATATTTTGAATCATATTTAAGCCGATATTAATATGAAACGGCTCATGATGTAAGCAGACCGTTCATCTCAAGTAACTTTACCTGCACCCATATTTCAAGTCATATCCAGATCGTTCAAAGTGTCCTATAATATCGAATACTTTTACCGAAACCCTCCAACCAAGTGTCATATTAAAATATTATTGATCACGCATATATTATAATAATTATTAAAATAGTTAAGTACTTAATTTAAAAAATATATTAATAATTATAAGTTTGAATGCATATTTTGTTATTAAAATAGATTTAATTTTATAATTTAAGGTAAGTATTAAAAAAATTATGTTAAAATAAATAAAAATATATTACAAAAATTTATTATGTTTAAATAATTAAAATTAAAAAAAATTAATATATTTATTTAGTATTTTCTAAAATTAATATATTTATTTATTAAAAATAATAATAATATTAATTTTTCTTAATAAAAAACTCGCATGGATATGTATATATATTATATACATATATGTAAGATATGTATATGTATATGTATATGTGTATTATGTAATTGATCCTGGAGCTACGGGCAAGGTAGGTTTTCACGAGAACGCAGCTCGGCAAGAACAACCAGACAAAGATAACATACTGGTTCAGATTTTGAGCTAATTAGGCCAATTTCAATTTCATCGAAAGAAGGAGGGGGATGGGGAAGAAGGAGAAGACAGGTCTGGGAAGGACACTGGTGAAGCACCATAACCAGATGATTCAGCAGTCCAAAGAGAAAGGTTTGTTCTACAAGGCGCAGCACAAGAAGGTTCTCCAGTCCGTCACCGATGTCAGCGATATCGACGCCATTATTGAGCAGGCCGACGAGGCTGACCGCTTATTCTCCCTCCAGCATCCTACCCCGAATCTCCTCATCAATTTGTTGGTTTCAATTTTTAAGTTTCAAATATTTTCAGCTTATTGTTGTTGATTTCTAATTTGTGCTTCTGGTCCTTGTTTTGTGCGACTCTTTGTTTGAAGTTGTTACTACTTGATTTAGAGCTCATCACTTCGCATATTTATTACTTTGGGATAGTTGATATCTGTAAATCTAAATGGGGGATGGAGTCTTAACATTATAATTGTCTGTTTCTTCTTTGGTATTAGGTTAGACTGTAGGAGTTTCATGATGTTTGTTTATGCATTATCTGTAGGTTCTTAAAGTTGCTACTTTGTGAGCAAAAAAGTTTGATAGCAGTCTGTTTAAAATGTATATCCATAGATTTTGATGGTGTACCGTTTTTCATCAGGGACACAAGCTCCAGCGCCAGTAACATAACATCCGGGGAATTGAGAGAACAGCAGAAGAACGAGGAGGAACTGTATGCTAGCAGTCTTCGAGTTCCACGCAGGCAAGTGTAGTCCACATAATTACGATATGTATCATTTTTTGAATCGAAGGTCTTAAAAAGTTTTGCTTTTGATGCAGGCCTCCATGGAATCCAGGAATGTCCGTGGAAGAGCTTGATGCCAATGAGAGACAAGCTTTCTTAGATTGGCGTCGGTTGCTTGCTAGGTTAGTGCTACTGGGACAAAAAATGTGAAAATATGCTAGATTATTTTGGCATAGAGAATTGAATTTTAGTTCTTTTGGCAGTTTTTTGGCGTTCTGTGGAAAATAGGACTGGGGAGTGGTGTCGACATATTTACGCGTTACTTTGTAATCTGAACATATGTTCTTGCTTAAAGTTTTGTTCTTCCCTACTCTAAGTTGTTTGGAAAAGAAATGGAAGTTATACTTATTATCATGGGCCTCAAACACAGGGAAATTCCAAGTTCTGTGGACAGTGGAAAATGACATGAAAAAGATATAGTATGTGATAGTAATGGAAGGATGATCTAGCTCAGGTTTTGAAAGCCTTTTTCCAATTTTCTGCTAATCTGGAGTGCTAATAATTTATGGACAAGATATATAAGTGGTTTCAAGCATCTGAGAGAGAAGTGCTCTACCTTCCGACCTTTTAGTGTGTTTGTTATTAATTGTGCCCTGCGAAACATGTTGGATGCCTCGATGATTGCGTTTTCTTTTCTTTTTCATGTCTATTGCCAGGATTTGTTCTCTTAAGTTGTTTCTGCTTTCTATGCCATATTGTTTGAGGGGTTGAGTTCTTTTTCTTAATTTATTTTATATCTATTGGATTCTGTATTCTTATAATCATATATCTGAATTTGATTCAGACTTGAAGAGAATGAGAAGCTTGTTCTCACCCCATTTGAGAAGAATCTTGATATCTGGAGACAACTTTGGCGAGTAGTCGAGCGGAGTGATTTGGTAGGTTGGTTCTTTTTTATTTTAATTTAATTTTTTAAATATTTTTAAATTTTAGTTTTTTTTTATTGTAGAAAATATAATTTAAGCCATCCACTTGACAAACTTTTTTAACTCATAATTATTCATGTATTCAAATTAACATTAGTGTATTGTCTCACTAACAGTCAAGCCACAAGTACTAAAACTTTTAAAAGCAAAACACGTATTTTGGAAATATAATCTATATCCTAGAGATTTATTTGAATTCAGCAGTTGCACTCCTCTAAATAAGAAAATGCATTTTTAAACTAGGGATATGCCAAGGTTTTAAAATTTTTCGTGAAATAGCTGAAGATTCTATTTGTGCATATTTTTCCTATGTATGTTTTGTTACTCATGACTCGTAGGCTTTATTTCCTGGATCTGCAACTGTGTTAGTATTTTAGCATGGCCAGGCAGAGCCTTCTTTAGCTTAGATTGATTCTGGCCCCTCACTCTTGCTTCGTCTATGACTTCCAATGTTGACTTGTAGTGTGGATGACCTAAACATTTTGTTTTCGAGAAGACGTGAAATATAAGGACAATTTACATGTTACATCTAATAGGATTGTGTTACTCACATCCTTGAGAAAATCTTGATAAGAATAGGAGTAATGATGAGTTGTGGCTCTTCTTTTAGATACAAAAGGTAATTCATTTAGAGTCGCCAAGGGAATGGCATCTAATTACAAAATTACTTTTCTTTTTAAAATAGTCTTATTACAAAAATACAAAGATTTAATAGGTTAATCAGATCAAGAACATCAATCCCATCATGGATGGGATGACCTTTGAACAAATTTAGAGAGTTCTCGAGCAATGATCCTAGTAGAGGCAAAAGAGGAGGAATAATTCTCCTCTTTCTGACCCAAAGAAAAGAAATAGGGAATAAGAGAGATAATCCTTCTTTTTGAGTTTAGCATCTTAGTATCATTCTAGTCCCAGAATTTGATCTTCGACTGATTAACTTATGACCCAACTGATATTTACGACAGCTAGAGCAGAACTCCAAAGTATTCTAGTCTAAGTATAAGATGGCCTGGGGATTCCAATCCAAGGCAAAAAAAAAGCAATCATTAACCGGTATTCAAACTTGTTTTATGAGATTTTCTGAAGTGAGGATCCTCCCCCAAGCTGCTTCCTAGGCAAAAAAAAAAAAAGCAATGCAGGGACAAGCTTTTGATTCCAAATTTGTTTCTAGGGAAAGTAGCCCAACATGGATCAAAAAGCTGATGGTGGTGAAAGGATTTAACTGAAACTCCGTCATCCTTAGATAACTTCCAAACCAGTCTATCGTCCTCAATGAGTTAAATGCGAATTAACTTCCATTTAGGTTATCAAAGAAAGGGATATTCCATTGGGCATCACCATTGTATTCCACAAAATAATCTCTAAGCTTGTCTCTTTTGAACATGATAAGTGAGAAAATGATAAAGAATACATCCTAAAAGGAGGCCATCCACAGATTCTGCACACCAATGATCCAACTAGTAACTCATGCCAATCATTTTCCTCTGGTTAAAGAAAACTCATCCATGTGTTTTGAAGTGGCAATCAATATAAAACATTGATATTTGAATTTTCTCATGAAAACTTACCAGGCTTTGTGCTTTCTCAATACCAAAAATATTGGAAACATGCAATTAGTTAGGAGTGTGAATGTTGGTGGTAGGATAAAATCAAGATATTGACCAATTGGTGTATCAAGTATCTCCTTTAGTGGAACTTCCATACAATTACTTTTAGGAAAGATCTTGAGCAATAGGAACACATGGTGGTTTTTCTTGCTTCTTCACTTTAGAGTCTGCTGATGTAACATTCACTTGATGAATGTTAATGACTCTGAAATTAATAAAGTCATGTGTTCCTGAACTATTCTTTTGGCAATGTTAAAAGCTCGCAACCAATTCATTCTTTACTCAATCCTTCATGAATTCTTGAAACATTATCATCTATATGCTTTTGTACTATGGTTAACTACTTGCAAGTAACCATGAATTCATTTTTTATAGCTGGTAATGGTGGTTGATGCACGAGATCCGCTATTCTACCGTTGTCCTGATCTTGAGGTAATTCATGTTCTGAAGTTCTTTTTGCACTTTTCCTTCCATGTGTAGATTTCATTTGTTATTTGACTCTGATATAGGCATATGCTCGAGAAATTGATGAGCATAAAAAGACATTGCTTCTGGTAAACAAGGCAGATCTTTTGCCATTTTCTGTCAGGTTAGTGTTCCCTGATTAAGTGCCTTTAGCTGGTCATTATCAGTTTGCCATTTTTCCACGTAGTATATATTGACATCATTTTTCCTTATCTGCAGGGAGAGATGGGCAAAATATTTTCGTCTTCACGAGATTTTATTCATCTTCTGGTCCGCTAAAGCTGCTTCTGCAGCTCTAGAAGGGAAAAGTCTTAGTGGCCCATGGAAGACAGATAATACATCAGAAAGGATAGTTGATCCTGATATAAAAATATATGGCAGGGATGAGCTTCTAGAGCGTTTGCAGTCTGAAGCACAAGAGGTGGTCAAAATGAAGAGAAAATCTGGTTTGAATACCACAGCCTCATCTGATGTTCAATCTCAAGTTGAAGATGCTTCAGGAAGTTCAGTCCCTCGGAGTGTAGTTGTGGGATTTGTGGGGTACCCTAACGTGGGAAAGAGCTCGACAATTAATGCTTTGGTTGGCCAGAAGCGAACAGGTGTCACCTCTACTCCAGGAAAAACAAAGCATTTCCAAACATTGATAATCTCTGATGAGCTTACCCTGTGTGACTGCCCTGGACTGGTATTTCCATCATTCTCTAGTTCGAGATATGAGATGATTGCTTCAGGAGTGTTGCCAATTGATAGAATGACTGAGCACAGGGAGGCGGTGCAAGTTGTGGCCAATCGAGTGCCAAGGCATGTAATTGAGGAAGTATACAACATAAATCTGCCAAAGCCCAAGCCATATGAACCACAATCTCGGCCTCCTCTTGCAATAGAATTCTTGAGGACTTATTGTGCTTCTCGTGGATATGTAGCCGCAAGTGGACTTCCTGATGAAACAAGAGCAGCACGTCAAATTTTGAAAGATTTTATAGACGGTAAGATTCCCCACTTCAAAATGCCTCCTGGAATATCTGATGATGATAGTGTTCAAGCTCCTGCAGAAATGAGCTTGTCTGAAATAGACGAGTTGGATGCATCTGATGATGCTTCAGACATTGAAAACTCTCCAGAACATAAAGATGAAAGTTCTCCTGTACTTGAACACGTGCTGGATGATCTTAACTCATTTGACCTAGCAAACGGGCTTGCTTCAAAGAAGGTTGCTAAGAAGAAACCAGACTCATCTCATAAACACCATAAAAAACCGCAAAGGAAAAAAGATCGTTCGTGGAGAGTCAGCAACAATGATGATGACGGAATGCCAGTTGCAAGAGCCTTCCAGAAACCAGTGAATACAGGTCCTTTGTCAGCGGGTTAAGGGCCAGATTTTATTGTGCTTCTCCATCGAGCAGTCTATGCCTGCAAATTTAGCCGTTTACTTCTCAAATGGAGACTGTCACTCTGAGGAAGAAGTGGGAACCATATTTCCGATAACTTAAACGCTCGTGGTTCAAATATTGTTATTGGTTTGCAAATGCATGTGTCTTTTTTATCACTTTTGTCTTTTCGGTGATAAAAGAATGAAATGAAACGATGTTCTTGTTGTTATCCTTAAAAAGATGGGCAATGTATTTATATAGATACTTGAGTATAAGAGTTCTCAAGAGAATCAAAACTAACATATAAAATACGACTAAATAGTATTGTGATTATACGAAAAAAGTTAATTTTACATGAATTATTATAGCGATAATAGTATTTGTATCTATACAAATACGTTGTTAGCAATTATTTCAAAAAGCAAATAGTATATTATTAACAAATACTTTGTTCTTTTCTACATGTATTGAAATAAAATATTTTGAAATACTTCGTAATCATATCTCTATATATATATATATAATTTTTTAAAGTTTTGCTTGTAATCTTTTTTTTTTAATAAATTACCTTAAAATTTGATAATATTTTCATAAATTATCATAAATTTTAATAATTAAATAGCGTAACTTTTTGAATTTAACAAAAATTGATTGATGAGCTCTTGATACAGAAGCTTTAGTTGAAATAAGTACTCGACTTTAGTAAATATTATAATCATGATCGTAACTAAATTTTAACTTTTATTAATAAATAAAAGCACAAAGTAATAATCATAATTAAATATAATGTTAATATTATGATCTCATTTAGTTTATTTTCATTATATTTCTAACAAATTTACATTTTTTTTTTGTTTTCTATAATGATATCAATCTATATAATTGCACCATAGATTTTAAACTTTTGAAATACCCTCATCCATTCAAAGAATTTCTCGATGCTATAATTTCAAATCATACTTATTCTTAAAGTATAAAATGAAATTTTGTAATTTTATATGTCACGAATATTGGAAAAATTAAAGTAGTTATTTGTTATGATTGAAATAAAATTTTTAACAATTATCCATTTGATAGAGAAACATTAATTACAAAATGTTCTTATATTTTAGACCCAATTACAACGAGGTTCATTGACTTTTTTTTTTTTCGGAGAAGAAAGTTACACGATTAAACGTAAAACTAAGAAATTATGTATCTATTTTGAAGTACGATACTATTACTAATCTCAGTATTATTTCAATCAAGATCACTCCGCCAATAAAAACCTACGAATTATGCAAAATGAAAACATTAAAAGATATATAAGATAGTTATTGGTTTATATTCATATATTATATCAAATAAAAATAAAATAAATTAAAATAATAAAATTAAAAATCATTTATAAACTAATATGAAAATCATATTTTAAAATTGACTAGAAGTTAAAAATAATTAAAAACCATTTGGTCCCAAAAAAAATAGTCAACTCTTTTTTTTTTGGAAAAAAAAATCCACTCTTACATGTAAATTATTTAAATTTTGACTTTTTTTTTCTAAATTTATTAATAAAGTACACATGGAAAAAGCAATTAAAACATTTAACTGTCACTTGGATAGTCATAATAAAATATTTATTAAGATTAAACTCAATTTAATCATTTAATTTGTTATCAATACATACATTAATTTACATGATCGTTCATATATTTGTTTACGACATCTGCTGTGAAGGCCC